GTTCAGGTGTATATCAGTATGTAGTGTCTCTACTTTAAAGAGTCCTCTCCTGCTGATGTTCAGGTGTATATCAGTATGTAGTGTCTCTACTTTAAAGAGTCCTCTCCTGCTGATGCTCAGGTGTATATCAGTATGTAGTGTCTCTACTTTAAAGAGTCCTCTCCTGCTGATGTTCAGGTCTATATCAGTATGTAGTGTCTCTACTTTAAAGAGTCCTCTCCTGCTGATGTTCAGGTGTATATCAGTATGTAGTGTCTCTACTTTAAAGAGTCCTCTCCTGCTGATGTTCAGGTGTATATCAGTATGTAGTGTCTCTACTTTAAAGAGTCCTCTCCTGCTGATGTTCAGGTGTATATCAGTATGTAGTGTCTCTACTTTAAAGAGTCCTCTCCTGCTGATGTTCAGGTGTATATCAGTATGTAGTGTCTCTACTTTAAAGAGTCCTCTCCTGTTGATGTTCAGGAGTATATCAGTATGTAGTGTCTCTACTTTAAAGAGTCCTCTCCTGCTGATGTTCAGGTATATATCAGTATGTCGTGTCTCTACTTTAAAGAGTCCTCTCCTGCTGATGTTCAGGTGTATATCAGTATGTAGTGTCTCTACTTTAAAGAGTCCTCTCCTGCTGATGTTCAGGTGTATATCAGTATGTAGTGTATCTACTTTAAAGAGTCCTCTCCTGCTGATGTTCAGGTGTATATCAGTATGTAATGTCTCTACTTTAAAGAGTCCTCTCCTGCTGATGTTCAGGTGTATATCAGTATGTAGTGTCTCTACTTTAAAGAGTCCTCTCCTGCTGATGTTCAGGTGTATATCAGTATGTAGTGTCTCTACTTTAAAGAGTCCTCTCCTGCTGATGTTCAGGTGAAGTAAACAAAGAGTTCAATAGAGGCGTTTCAGGCGTATACTCTATAGATAGTAATTTATGTTCATATTGAAGTGTAGATTCATTGTTATGCAGGATGACCTTGTGGTCAAAACATATTTGAATATCTCATTTATCAGATTGGCACTTTGAGTTATTTCCTTTAATTAAATGTTTCATTCTTAATTTAATTTTAGAATATCAATACATCTATATACAGTAAATCACAATGAGTAATGGATTGAATTGATTTACATAAAAACAACAACGGTCATGTGCAAATCAAAAGTATGGTTTTCAATATAATATTCACTCAAGGCATTATTTAAAATAGTAAAACATCGAATGTCAAAAACTATTTTCTTAAAAATGTAAATATTGTTGTTTTTGGCGCCACCTATGGCCATTAGAAGTATTTGCAGGAATGTTTTTGCATCCAAATCAAATGTAAGGGCTTTCTTCATTGTACCCATGCAGCTCAGGGTTTGGGTTTTAATAGGTTTGGACAACAGCAGAGCTTTATGTCCCAGAGGAATAAGATACACAAGGCTTTGTTTGGATAATACCTGTTAGTGGAACCAATTCACTGCGGATTAGGGACTTTTTAAATGGGATTTACTGACAATAAGGACAATTAAGAGTCTCAACAACATTTAAAAGGCAATTAGGACATAAGCCATTTTATTTTAAGGGATATGTCCCCAAAGCTAATGTTGCCAGGATTTCACCAAAACATTACTTTTCCTTGGAGACTGGTTTAAGAGTTAGAGTTTAAGAACGTGCTGTAGTTCCTTTATAGCCCAGCATTAGCCTCCTTTAGCTTAGCGGTGGTGACGTGAAGTCATGTGACCGTGCTGTAGTTCCTTTATAGCCCAACATTAGCCTCCTTTAGCTTAGCGGTGGTGACGTGAAGTCATGTGACCGTGCTGTAGTTCCTTTATAGCCCAACATTAGCCTTTAGCTTAGCGGTGGTGACGTGAAGTCATGTGACCGTGCTGTAGTTCCTTTATAGCCCAACATTAGCCACCTTTAGCTTAGCGGTGGTGACGTGAAGTCATGTGACCGTGCTGTAGTTCCTTTATAGCCCAACATTAGCCACCTTTAGCTTAGCGGTGGTGACGTGAAGTCATGTGACCGTGCTGTAGTTCCTTTATAGCCCAACATTAGCCTTTAGCTTAGCGGTGGTGACGTGAAGTCATGTGACCGTGCTGTAGTTCCTTTATAGCCCAACATTAGCCACCTTTAGCTTAGCGGTGGTGACGTGAAGTCATGTGACCGTGCTGTAGTTCCTTTATAGCCCAACATTAGCCTTTAGCTTAGCGGTGGTGAGGTAAAGTCATGTGACCGTGCTGTAGTTCCTTTATAGCCCAACATTAGCCACCTTTAGCTTAGCGGTGGTGACGTGAAGTCATGTGACCGTGCTGTAGTTCCTTTATAGCCCAACATTAGCCACCTTTAGCTTAGCGGTGGTGACGTGAAGTCATGTGACCGTGCTGTAGTTCCTTTATAGCCTAACGTTAGCTTTTGACTTCAGAAATCATAAAGTGGTGTTAATATATGGAGATTATCCTGCTGAACTAATCGTACAAGTATAATAAATGTTAGTTTGACAAAAATCACATAGAGAAATCTCATTGGCTTTTTTGCCAACTGGAGCCCTTGCAATGCCAACTTCTGGGTTGGACTACAAAAATACATCATCACTACGTTGCTAACTAGTTAGCTTATATTGTTGATATAACTTAACTATATAAACCAATGTGACTTCCTGTCAAAATGAACAAACTTTTCAAAGTGTATTCACAGTGTACGACACATGGCAGTATTCTATATGAAGTATCAAGGCACGTGTTTGGCTAAAAGGATTTCATAAATGGCATAAAACACACAAGCATCCGTCTCCTTTCTGCTCTGTAAATGTCTCCGTAAAAGCTCTGATTTAATGCCCGGACTACTTTCCCGTCCTGTAACACAACATGTCCATCACACTGATGAACCCTGATCAATAACAAGCTCGGTGTACAATACATCAGACGAGCTAAATGTGGGGCTTTCTCCTCGTACTTTATTTCCATGCAGGAGATGCTTTTAGCCACAAATTGTGTTCAAGTAAGTGCCCTTCAAGGCCCATTAGGGAGGGGTCAGTTTGGAGCTCTATCACAAAAACCCTAATCCAAAAACAGACGGATTTGCTGCATCTCCAGAGGAGGTGAGGATTAAATGTCGGTAACCCAATTAAGACGGGGCTGATGGAGTAAAAAACAGGGATTTAAGGAGAAAAAGAGGTTTAATGTTGCTTCTCCTGTTGCGAGATGCGACATAGTTTAGGTTTAATTCAGTCTGAAGGTAATCTATCAGAAAACATTATGTCTGCCTTTGGTTGGGAAATAATGGATTTACACACTTAATTCTTATCTTTTTTATTCTTAATGGATTAAAAAGATCTATTTTTGTACGTCTAATTAATGTCCTGTCAACCGGTTCATCTGTTTTTGACAAATTAGCTGCTAAAGTCTCACCTTATGTGCCCTTATTTATCTTAAACCTGTCGTCATAAAGTACATTTACACTCCGGAAAAAGGTTAATTACAACAACATCTAAAATACATTTGAATTATCCGCAAATATCAAATTTCTCCATTTTCGAACAATTTAGAATTAAAAAGATTGACTAATTATGTATTTTTTATTATGTAAAGTATTTGTTTAATCAGCAACATTATATACATTGTACTTAATGCATAAAATGAAAATTAATTACTTTTATCTCTCAAAAATCTGCTGGCTGGTTCAAATTATAACAAAACATCATATTTAAAAATCTGAATTTGTAAAGCAACCAAAGCGTCAAATAGATATAGTGAAGTAAAAAGTACAATATTTCAGTATAAAGTGGCATTGCATGGAAATACTGAAGTACAAGTATCTCAAGTTGAACTTAAGTACAGTATATTTGTACCACAGCTGAAAACAGCCTCTTCTCTCACTCGTTTCTGTTATTGTCCTGATGAAGAACTGCGCACTGCAGGAACATCTCATTGAAGGGCTGTGGTTTGAGGTTTCTTCAGATGTTTAGAAACATTTTAGATGTTAGATTTAACAGTCTTGTTAAATCTTTAATAACTTATCCAGACTGTGTGTGCACCAAGTACTCTGACAAATACTCAAATAAAGTAGTAATACCACAGTGTAGAAGTAATCTATTACAAGTGTATAACCTGCATTCAGAACTCATAGCCAACTTCAGAAAAATATGTTATTAAATCATGATTATTAATGAATTATTATTAATGCATTAATGTGTTGTTCCAGCTGCTAAAGGAGGGGTTTTTAAACTGTTTTTATATAAAACAATTCCAGGTTTCTCATGAATTTCATAACGGAATCAACACATAGTATTAAGCTCTTATAAACATCATCTTTTATATTATTAATCTAAATCAGAAACGTATCAGATACCCTTTAGATTCAGTGGATTAGAAGTATAAAGTAGCAGGAAATACTCAAGTATAGTAAAAGTGCAGTAATAGAGTAAATGTACACAGTTACTTTCCACCACTAGTGGCATGCCTTTAGAATAAAAACATGCGTCACATGCGTGCACATACCGTGCGTCAATCAGTGCTAATTAGTTATTAAATGCACATTTGAAGGGTTAGCCACGGCTACACTTACACAAATACAAGCTAATGTGAAGAGAAGTTTCTATTTAGCGTAAATTCAGCATGATATAATCCCACTGTAGCGTTCAAGTGCACGGCTGAAGCGAAATGTGTGGAGATCATGAACTAAAAAACAATTATTTCGGAGAAAACTGTGCTATATTAGCTTAAAAACATTACTTTTATTTACATTTAGCGGGAATTAAACAAGAGAATATCCCACTGTAGCGTTCAAGTGCACTGCTGACGAGAATAAAAAGAAGACAATTGACTAAAAAAACACTTCTTTTCATACAAACTGTGCTTTAGAAGCTTAAAAACATTATTTTTCAACGCAATTGTGCATCCGCGAAAAGCCACATGTTGTGTTTGTCATTCAAAATGAACGTCTTGCACTCAAACTTCTGTCGCTTAGAGTAAAAAATACAACAAAAAAATGGCGTGTTTATATTTTATTAAATATAGTTAGTACTCACCACTGTGGTGAAGGAGGGTGAGGAAGAGGAGAGGGAGAAGAAGAAGAGTTTTCTGCAGATGAAGAGGAGACATGTTCGCGGTCGTATCCAGTCCGAAATAACGAGGGAGAGAAGTTACAGCCGGAGGAGACTGAAGGGGAGGAGGCTCAATTAAAGTCTGGAGGAGTGTGTGTGCGTGTGTGTGTGTGTGTGTGTGTGTGTGTGTGTGTGTGTGTGGTTGTGTGTGTGTGTGTGTGTGTGTGTGTGTGTGTGTGTGTGTGTGTGTGTGTGTGTGTGTGTGTGTGTGGGTGTGTGGGTGTGTGTGTGCGTGTGTGTGTGGGTGTGTGTGTGTGTGCGCGCGCGCGTGGGTGTGTGTGTGTGGTTGACAGCTTATCCGTGTTTTCTCCTGACACAAACTCGAGTTTTTTTCCCTCAACGTCAACAAAACAAGCGCACCTTATATCACTAACCCTTTGTTACAAGCAGTACATTAATACTAAGTCCTGCATTTAAAATCTCACTTGAATAAATGCAGACATTTTTACTGGCATCGAAATAAACTTAAAGTACCATAAGTTTAAGCATGTGTTATGCGTTATACATGAGTATTAGCATCAGAACAGTTAATAGATAAAGATATGCATTCACAATATCACCTATTCTACGTTCAGGTATATATCAGTATGTAGTGTCTCTACTTTAAAGAGTCCTCTCCTGCTGATGTTCAGGTGTATATCAGTATGTAGTGTCTCTACTTTAAAGAGTCCTCTCCTGCTGATGTTCAGGTGTATATCAGTATGTAGTGTCTCTACTTTAAAGAGTCCTCTCCTGCTGATGTTCAGGTGTATATCAGTATGTAGTGTCTCTACTTTAAAGAGTCCTCTCCTGCTGATGTTCAGGTGTATATCAGTATGTAGTGTCTCTACTTTAAAGAGTCCTCTCCTGCTGATGTTCAGGTGTATATCAGTATGTAGTGTCTCTACTTTAAAGAGTCCTCTCCTGCTGATGTTCAGGTGTATATCAGTATGTAGTGTCTCTACTTTAAAGAGTCCTCTCCTGCTGATGTTCAGGTGTATATCAGTATGTAGTGTCTCTACTTTAAAGAGTCCTCTCCTGCTGATGTTCAGGTGTATATCAGTATGTAGTGTCTCTACTTTAAAGAGTCCTCTCCTGCTGATGTTCAGGTGTATATCAGTCTGTAGTGTCTCTACTTTAAAGAGTCCTCTCCTGCTGATGTTCAGGTGTATATCAGTATGTAGTGTCTCTACTTTAAAGAGTCCTCTCTTGCTGATGTTCAGGTGTATATCAGTATGTAGTGTCTCTACTTTAAAGAGTCCTCTCCTGCTGATGTTCAGGTGTATATCAGTATGTAGTGTCTCTACTTTAAAGAGTCCTCTCCTGCTGATGTTCAGGTGTATATCAGTATGTAGTGTCTCTACTTTAAAGAGTCCTCTCCTGCTGATGTTCAGGTGTATATCAGTATGTAGTGTCTCTACTTTAAAGAGTCCTCTCCTGCTGATGTTCAGGTGTATATCAGTATGTAGTGTCTCTACTTTAAAGAGTCCTCTCCTGCTGATGTTCAGGTGTATATCAGTATGTAGTGTCTCTACTTTAAAGAGTCCTCTCCTGCTGATGTTCAGGTGTATATCAGTATGTAGTGTCTCTACTTTAAAGAGTCCTCTCCTGCTGATGTTCAGGTGTATATCAGTATGTAGTGTCTCTACTTTAAAGAGTCCTCTCCTGCTGATGTTCAGGTGTATATCAGTATGTAGTGTCTCTACTTTAAAGAGTCCTCTCCTGCTGATGTTCAGGTGTATATCAGTATGTAGTGTCTCTACTTTAAAGAGTCCTCTCCTGCTGATGTTCAGGTGTATATCAGTCTGTAGTGTCTCTACTTTAAAGAGTCCTCTCCTGCTGATGTTCAGGTGTATATCAGTATGTAGTGTCTCTACTTTAAAGAGTCCTCTCTTGCTGATGTTCAGGTGTATATCAGTATGTAGTGTCTCTACTTTAAAGAGTCCTCTCCTGCTGATGTTCAGGTGTATATCAGTATGTAGTGTCTCTACTTTAAAGAGTCCTCTCCTGCTGATGTTCAGGTGTATATCAGTATGTAGTGTCTCTACTTTAAAGAGTCCTCTCCTGCTGATGTTCAGGTGTATATCAGTATGTAGTGTCTCTACTTTAAAGAGTCCTCTCCTGCTGATGTTCAGGTGTATATCAGTATGTAGTGTCTCTACTTTAAAGAGTCCTCTCCTGCTGATGTTCAGGTGTATATCAGTATGTAGTGTCTCTACTTTAAAGAGTCCTCTCCTGCTGATGTTCAGGTGTATATCAGTATGTAGTGTCTCTACTTTAAAGAGTCCTCTCCTGCTGATGTTCAGGTGTATATCAGTATGTAGTGTTTCTACTTTAAAGAGTCCTCTCCTGCTGATGTTCAGGTATATATCAGTGTGTAGTGTCTCTACTTTAAAGAGTCCTCTCCTGCTGATGTTCAGGTGTATATCAGTGTGTAGTGTCTCTACTTTAAAGAGTCCTCTCCTGCTGATGTTCAGGTGTATATCAGTATGTAGTGTCTCTACTTTAAAGAGTCCTCTCCTGCTGATGTTCAGGTGTATATCAGTGTGTAGTGTCTCTACTTTAAAGAGTCCTCTCCTGCTGATGTTCAGGTGTATATCAGTGTGTAGTGTCTCTACTTTAAAGAGTCCTCTCCTGCTGATGTTTAGGTGTAACTACAGGGGTCCCTCAGGGCTCTGTTCTTGGTCCCCTCCTCTTCTCCTTGTACACAAACTCGCTCGAATCAGTCATTAGCCCGCATGGTTTTTCATACCACTGCTACGCTGACGACACCCAATTAATTCTGTCCTTTCCCCGCTCAGAGACCCAGGTCGTCGCACGCATCTCTGCTTGTCTAGCTGACATCTCTCAGTGGATGTCTGCTCATCACCTCAAGCTCAACCTTGACAAGACTGAGCTGCTCTTCCTTCCGGGAAAAGATTGTCCCACTCTTGACCTAACAATCAAAATCGGTACCTCTGTTGTTTCCCCGACTCAGACTGCAAGGAATCTGGGTGTGACCCTAGATAACAACCTGTCCTTCACTGCAAACATCGCTGCTACAACCCGTTGCTGCAGATACACGCTTTACAACATCAGGAGGATACGTCCCCATCTGACTCAGAAAGCGACTCGGGTTCTGGTCCAGGCTCTCGTCATCTCACGCCTAGACTACTGCAACTCCCTCCTGGCTGGTCTACCTGCATGTGCCATCCGACCTCTGCAGCTCATCCAGAATGCAGCGGCTCGTCTGGTCTTCAACCTTCCTAAATTCTCCCACACCACTCCGCTCCTCCGCTCCCTTCACTGGCTTCCGGTAACTGCTAGAATCCACTTCAAGACACTGGTACTTGCTTACCATGCTGCGAATGGATCTGGCCCTTCGTACATCCAGGACATGGTTAAACCGTACATCCCCAGCGCGTGCACTACGCTCTGCATCAGCCAAACGACTCGCTGCGCCCTCGCTGCGAAGGGGACCCAAGTTCCCATCGGCGAAAACACGTGGGTTTGCTGTCCTGGCTCCAAGATGGTGGAATGAGCTCCCCATTGACATCAGGACAGCAGAAAGCTTGCACATCTTCCGGCGCAGACTGAAAACTCATCTCTTTCGACTCCACTTCGAGCGTTAGAACTATTAACAAAGCACTTATATACTAATAAAGGACTGGCTTATCTAAAGCCAGTTGAGTAGCACTTGAAATGTTTGGCTCTATGAAACCTGATGTACTTTATGATTCTGTTTTCTTCAAGGTTGTGTCTTCTGGTCGAATGTACTTATTGTAAGTCGCTTTGGATAAAAGCGTCAGCTAAATGTAATGTAATGTAATGTAATGTAATGTAATGTATGTAGTGTCTTTACTTTAAATAGTGCTCTGATTGGTTAGCTATGCAGGCTCTGTTGTGATTGGTCGACTGCTTCTACTTAGGTTTCATTACTTTTACATATAATGGAGTATTTTCAGACCCCAGTATTTATTGAAGGATGTTCTCACTGAAAGCAGCAGCTGCTCTTTCATATCAGAAATATTTAGTTTGGATTTCAGCCAATTTATCTTTTAGGAAACCGTCTCTCTGAAATCTGAGAGACGTGATTTTAACCAGACTCACTTTACTGATGCTCTGTTATTAAAGTGTGATGAGCCTTTACCACAGTAAAAGTACAAAAACACAGCGGTGGGAGAAGTACTCAGATCTTGAGTAAAAGTAGAAGTACTCAGATCTTGTACTTGAGTAAAAGTAGAAGTACTCAGATCTTGTACTTGAGTAAAAGTAGAAGTACTCAGATCTTGTACTTGAGTAAAAGTAGAAGTACTCAGATATTGTACTTGAGTAAAAGTAGAAGTACTCAGATATTGTACTTGAGTAAAAGTAGAAGTACTCAGATCTTGTACTTGAGTGAAAGTAGAAGTACTCAGACCTTGTACTTGAGAATACAATACTTTAAATACTTTAAAAAGTGGAAAAGTGAATTAACAATTACAAATAAAATGTAATATCAATCTATATTAAATATTATATCAATTATAACAAATACAAACAAAACAATATAAGATATTATGGACAATTAAAATAAAAAGTCAAAAATACAAAAGGACCCCATAGTGCTGTGGTTGTGATGTGTTCAGGAGGCCTGGAGCTTGGTGCTCGGATGTAAACCCGACATGAGGCCGAACGCTGGGTTCCTGCAGCAGCTGGAGGCCTGGGAGCTGCACCTCACGGGGAGGAGAGAGACCGACACCTCACTGCTGTAAATAAACCAAGGATACAACAACAATGATTTCATGCTATTTTCAACATTGTACAAGCGAGAAATTAGAGTTATAGAGGATGCGTGGGGGTGATTCTTAAACTACATTAAGATAATAATACTTATATTTTGTGTAATATTTATTAAAGTAAATTATCTGAGAATTAAAACAGCCTTTTAGTGGAAGTTAGGATTTAATGAAATAAAAAAACTGCAGAAACTGAATCTCAGCTTTAAAGGTCCCGTGTCACGGCCATCTCTACTGATCATAGTTCCATCGCTGAGGTCGACTAGAATAGATTCACATTGTTCAATGTTCCAAACTCACAGTGGTTTCTCA